TTTTTTTTTTTTTTTTTTTTTTTTTTTTTTTTTTTTTTTTTTTTTAGTATGAGGATTGAATTCAGGACCTTCACATTGAGCCATATCCCTGATCCTGTTTTAAAAACTTGAGACAGGGTCTTGCCAGGTCACTGAGTTACTCAGGCTGGGCTCAATCTTGTGATCTTCCTGCCTCAGCCTCCCAGAGTGCAGGGACTATAGGATTCCTTCATTTTAAATGCTGAGTAATATTCCATTGTGTGTGTGTGTGTGTGTGTGTGTGTGTGTGTGTATACACATAGACATTTTGCTTGGCATTGAGGACATTGGGATTGTGTCCACCTCTTTGTTATTGTGAATAATGCCAGTGTCAGAGTGCAGGTGTTTCTTTGAGTAGCTGCTTGCAGGCTTTTTGGATGTAAACTCAGAAGTAAGATTTCTGGATCATGTGACATCTCTGCTTTTAACTTTCTGAGGAACTGTCATAGTGTTTTCCATGGCGGCTGCACCATTCTGTGTTTATACCAGTAGTACCCGAGTGTTCTAATTTCTTTCTTTCTTTTTTTGTAGCGGGAATTGAACGCAGACCCTGTGCCCCTGAGCTACAAAAGACACACATGTTCTAATCTCACCGCATCATCAGTGACACTTGTTATTTTGGTTTCAGTAGCCATCATAATGAGGCTCCCTCCTACCTGTGTTTATTCACAGATCCAGTCAGTGAACACTTTCTAAATGTCATACTTGTTTTGCACAGTGGCCTTCTGCATATTCTTTCCTGCAGGTTGCTTTCTCCCGCTCAGCGCATGTTGGCCCTGGTCCATCTTGGGGACCACATGCATGGCCCTGCTCACAGGCACTTTGGTTGCCTCTGTGCACAGCAGACCAGGTACTTTGTGGGACTCCCTCCTCTGCTGCTCTGGCTCCTCCCTGGTGGAAACCTCATCCAGAACATCGCAGGGCCCCCAGCACACAGCCTGGAGGGACAGACGGGGAGGCAGTGTGGGGTGATGCTTTGGTTTTGCCAGATTGTCCATCAGCCAGGGGCCCGATGCTGCTGAGGAAGGACAGCTCAGAGTTTGTGGAACATGGCCAAGATCAGCAAACTAAAAATAGCAGTTCTGACTTGAGGTGGTGTGGGCAGCACTTCACAGGAGGCCTTGGGACTCTGAGGGCAAGTGGAACGCCTTCTTCTGCTCAGAGCAGCCAGGCCCCTGGCTGGCTCTCAGGTGGTCTTACCAACAGAACTGCAGTCGTAAGGCACTGTGTGCTTGGGGGGGGATTCAGCTTTGTGAGCTCAGGAACACAAGCGTGCATGTGATCAGGATGATCAGCTCCACAGAGGTGAGCCCTGAATTCCACATGGTGGGTCCCCGGGAGCTTCCCTCATTCACCAGCCACTTGGGAAGCACCGGCTGTATGCGTGGTGCAGTCTCCAGAACTGGTGATACAGCAACAAATAAGAAAAGATTTCCCTTCTTACGGGGCTAAGAATCAAGCAGCGGAAACTGAAAATAGGAACAAGCAAAGAATGAGCAGACAAGAAAAGACCAGTCCTGATAAGTCTTGTGAAGACAAAAGTCAGAAGGGGCTAGGAAACTTTCGTAAGGGGCCAGAAGGTAGATACCTTAGGGTTTGTCCTCGTGGTGTCTGTCACCACCACTCAGCTCTGTCCTTGTTTCATGGAAGTAGACAGACAGTGGTTAATGAGTGAGCATGGCGGAGCTCCGTTAAAGCTTCACTTATTTCCAGGGACAGGCCGTGGGTCACTTTTGACTCTGAGGCCATAGTGTGTCAGCTCCTATCCTCAGCTGGGGGAGAAGCCTGATCTGGCGGTGACAAGGGGAGATGGGGACTGAGCGGCTCCCAGGAAGAAGCTGACATGGGTGTCTGGTCCAGGTGGTATGTGCTGGCACCTCGCTGTGGGTACAGTGGTAGAATTCTGTGCCGAGAAGTGGGCAGGTTCAGCTGGATGTGAGGGACATAGCAACCTTGTTCACAGGTTGAATGTTGGTAGTATTAGAAAGAGGAGATACAGGATGGGCCCTAGACTTGGGGTTTGAACGTCTAGGAAAATGGATCTAGTGATTGAGAGAGAAACCGGGCATGGTGTTAAGTGTGAGGAACGTATGGATGGGCAGGTGGGCCAGTCGACATCCACACCTGGAACTCGGGGGAAAGGCCAGTCCTGGAGGCTTGGGCTGGGGGTCTTCAGAGCTGTGAGTCTGCCTGGCTCAAAGGGAGGGCTGTGAATAGAACAGAAGGGGTTCCAGGAGGCCACCCACCCTGAGAGCTTGGTGCACCAGCCCCGGCCCAAATGGGCCCTATACTCTGGAGGAAGGTGGTGCAGTGCAAATTCTGTGGCCACCTGATTTACTAGTACAGCTCAGTTTCCTTCTTGTGAAGTAGGGATCCTGCCTTCTAGGGTTTATAAAAGGACCAGATGAGGTAAAGTCATGTGTGATATGGACAAGGCACTGAGTACTTGCTACCTGTGATGATGATGGCTGCTGGACACACTGGGTGGATGAGCAGTTGCCAGGCCTGTGATCGGTTGGGACCATAGATACCCACATTGCGCAATGGACACTGTTGCTGCACATGCACCCGCATCCTCCTACCTGAGGGGCAGGCCCAGAATGCCCTGGGGCCAGCTGCTCACAATCCCAGCTTCCTTGCCCCATCCCTGGGTAGGTGCTGTGGAGCTGTGTTCTGTCCTGTCTTCCAGGGCTCCCCCGCAATCCAGCCCCATTGCCCCAGTGGTCACCCTCTGTAGCTGGCTCCTTACGCTGCCGTCTCAGCCCTGTCTGGCTTCCACATGCCTCCTCCGTGGCAGCCTCTTTCAAGCCCCAGTAATTTCTTGTACTTCCTGTGTTGGGGTTGGCTTCCAGGGCGATGCATACCTTTGGTTCGATGGGTGGTCTTGCTGGGACACAGTGGGTCATAGTTCGTGGGTTAGTGAGCTGGGGGTGGCTGTGACCCCCCCCCACTCTGCCCTTGACCAGGCCTGGGCAAGCTCATGCCTCTGTCTGCCTCCTCCTGCAGCCAAGAAACCAACAATGGTGGACCACTTGGTGAACACAGAGATCAACAGCAAGCGGATTGCCGCTGTGGAGCACTGCTTTGGGGCATCAGGGCAGCCACTGGCCCTGCCAGGCCGGGTGCTACTGGGAGAAGGTGTGCTGACCAAAGAGTGCCGCAAAAAGGCCAAACCACGCATCTTCTTCCTCTTCAACGACATCCTGGTCTACGGCAGCATTGTGCTCAGCAAGCGGAAGTACCGCAGCCAGCATATTATTCCCCTAGAGGAGGTGACGTTGGAGCAGTTGCCTGATACCGCGGAGGCCAAGAACCGCTGGATGATCAAGACTGCCAAGAAGTCCTTCGTGGTGTCGGCCGCCTCCACCACAGAGCGCCAGGAGTGGATCGGCCACATCGAGGAGTGTGTGCGGCGGCAGCTGCTGGCCACCGGCCACCAGCCCACCACGGAACACGCGGCACCCTGGATCCCCGACAAAGCCACGGACATCTGCATGCGCTGCACACAGACGCGCTTCTCAGCCCTCACCCGGCGCCACCACTGCCGAAAGTGTGGCTTCGTGGTTTGCTCCGAGTGCTCCCGAGAACGCTTCCTGCTGCCGCGCCTCTCTCCCAAGCCTCTGCGCGTCTGCAGCCTCTGCTACCGGGAGCTGGCCGCCCAGAAGCTGAAGGAGGAAGCAGAGGAACAGGGCAGGCTCTCCCCGCAGCAGCCGGCCCACCTGGGCGGGGCTTTCTACGGAGCGTCCAGTGGAGACGATGGCGATGACGATGACTCCGATGAGGACAAGGAGGGCAGCAGGGACGGCGACTGGCCCAGCCGTGTGCAGTTCTATGCCTCCGGTGTCTCCTGGTCAGCCTTCCACAGCTGACCCTGGCCTGCAGAGCTGCCGCACACACCGGTGCCCCTGCCAGGGCCTGAGCAGCCCTGTGTCCCAGGTGGTGCCCTGCCCCATGGTGGTTCACACGGGTGGAGGTGGAGAGCTCTTTCCTCTGGATTCTAGGTGCCTTTTTCTGGAGCTGGGCATCCATCCAGGCCCACTTCCAGCTCCACTTCAGGTAGTAATAACCTTTCCACTTAGCAAGCCCTAGAACACCTAGGCCTCTTGGGAACAAAAGCCATTCCCCAGGCCTGTAGGCTGGGGCTGCAGCTCCAGGCAACCCCTTGACTTAGCTCCAGGTGTCTGAGCATTGGGGTACCAGATGTGGGTCGACATGCAAAGGGAGGACAGGCAGGAGAGTGAGGTTCTGCTATGAGCCGAAGTGTGAGCCCCAAAACCCCAGTCCTGCGCCCCAGACAAGCACACCCTACAGAAGAGCATGAGTCTGGGCCCATTCGCTGTGCTGGTCCCCACCACCTGCCCACCGAGCCCTGCCAGGCCAGGCACCAAGTTCACCTAAGCCAGGCAAAAGACTGTCATGCTGTCCCCACCTGGCCCAGGGGACTGCAGCCTCACCTCCCCACAGCCCAGGGTACCCTGAGCAGGCCACTGCCCTGTCCCACCTCCCTCCGGGTGTCCAGGTGTCTGAGGAAATCCTCTCGTCATCTCTGTCTACAGACAGTGAAAGCAATGTTTTCTGTTAGAGCCCTTAGATGTAAGGATGGAAACTCTGCCAGACTGACTTACTAATAAAAAAGAATGTTTCCTGACTCCTGTGGTTGCAAAGTCCAGGATTGCTTGCTTTAGACATGGCTAGATTGAGGGCTGAATCCATGCAGAGGGGCAAACATCAATAACCACCCACCACACTGGGCATTTGTGGGACTGCTAGTAGCCCAGGGAGACGGGTGTTCATGCCTCGCCTTGGCTACTTCCCCAAGGACACAGCCCATTCCAGGTGCTGTGACGGTGGCCTAGGACCTGCAGTTCTGTTTGCTTCAGTGTGGGTAGGTCAGGCAGGTGGAATAAGAGAACAGGGAGCCTTTGTCTGACTGCCTGGGCCTCCAGGTTGAAAGGTGTCTTCTGTGCAGTCTCCTGCCTGGCCCTTGGGATGCTGCCAGTGAGTGGTGAAGCTCAGCCCCAGGTATAGCCACTAGACCTCCTCGGAGTGAATGTGACTCTGGCCCTCATGCTGGCCGCAGAGCCCTTGACATGGCTTCCTGCAGGTGCTTCTGAGCTAGTGTCTCCCCTGCACCCACTTGGCTGTGGCCAGAATCAAGGCACAGAGTGGCATGGCAGTCAGCTCAAGCGGTCACTTTGTGGCTGGGAAAGCTCCCCTCCCAGTGCAGTGAAATCCCACCATCAAAGCTCTGTTCCCCCAGTGAAGCTGTTCCTCTTTGACAAACAGAACATCCAAGGTTGAGTCAGGGCCCATTCAGAATCACAGGTCAGGACCTGACTCCTGTGGGTGGCAAGGCCTGCAGTAGATGGGTGACCACATGCAGAGACAGAAAGCGTGAAGCACCTGCTGTGGCCCCGCCCCGCATGGGCAGAGTGACCAGTCAGCGGAGGGTCAGGTACTTCCGGGACTTGTTTGTCTGCAGGCCTTTCCCTCCTTGGCCTCCTTCCAACCCGTAGACTGGTTCATGCTGGTTCTCATGCCAGACAAGTCATGAGGTGAGAAGCAGATTTCAGAAGACAGATCCGGGTGTCTACCCAGAAATCCAGCTTCCCCTTTGCCGGGGCTGCTGGCAGGATAGGGAATGCTGGCTGCATTGATCTCCTGGACACTGTCACTTGCCTGGAAACTCCAGGTCTAACATGCAGTGTTCATTTGGACAGGAGAGGGGACTTCCTGCAGCTGAAACAGCACCACCAGGCTCCTCTACAGCTGCCTGCCAATGCCACTGGGGTGACAGGACCCGGAGCAAGTGGGGCAAGAGGACTCTCCAAAGGGTGGTGGTAGCACCCTGGTCCCTACAGTTTCCATCACCTTGAGGTGCAGAGTGGCTGCCACCACTCTTTGGAGAGTTCTTGTGCGTGCAGACTGACCCACTTACGGGATGCTTGCCATGTGCCCTGCCGGGCACTGGGGACACAGCTATGAATCAGATGGCCAAGGTCCTGAGTCTCAAGGCTCTTTAGCAAGGGGGACAGGAGTACACAGCAGCACCAGTGTGTGCCGTGATGGGGGGCTGAGGCCTGGTGCTGAGGTAAAGAAGGCAGCACCAGGCAGAGGTGAGCTCAGGTCTGATAGGGAGGTGAGTGAGCCAGGCCACGTGGGGAGGTGGCATCCAGGCAGAAGGAATAGCAGGCATCAGTGTCCTGAGGGGGAAGAGAGTCCAGGTGTCTTGGAGCTGCACGGCCGGAACAGTGGCGCCAGGGGCCACTGGAGGCTAAGGGGAGCAAGAAGCTCTTTGCTTTGAAGAACTGGCCCTGATTGCTGCATGCTGATGGCTGGGAGGCTGTCAGGCCTGAGGGCCATGGGTGGAGGTGGTGGGCTCCATCAAATCCACATCTGCAGCCTTTCTGCCTGTGGTGTGGACAGGAAGCCTTAGGTGGCCCCGCTCCTGTCCTTAGCTCATCCCAAAGGCTGGTACCTTGCTGACCTGCCAAAAGTTAAACAACACCCACCTCAGCAAAGTGACAGTAAATGACCCCGGCCTGGCAGTGACCTTGAGTGATGATCAGCGCCCCAGGCTGCAGAAACAGTGGAGACAGCACTAGAGGGAATCAGGCTCTTGTGAAATAGAAGACGGAGCCTGGGAAGGGAAAGCACTGCCTGGAGATTGTGTCCACCTCCCAGCAGGTTTGTTTCCCTCTGGAGATGACATCATCAGCCAGGCTTGGGTGGAGGTCAGGCCAAACCCTGTCCTCCGGGCCAATCCTCCAGAGGCCGGCCCGGGTTGCCTTCCCCGATCCAGCCAGCGTCTGTAACGAACTGGAAAATTTAACAACCGTAGAGACCAAGTAATCGAATTTTTTTAAAAAATGGCCATGATCTGAGTAGACACTTCTCAAAAGAATAAATACAAGTGGCCAAAAACATACACGAAGGAAACGCTCACTATTGTTAGCTATCAAGAAGATGCAAACCAAATTTACAATGAGATAGCATTTCACCTCAGAATGGCTATAGTCAAAAAACAAAAAAAATAATAAATGATAGAATGGGGAGAAAACGGAACTCTTATATCACTGTCAGTGGAAACATAAATTAGAACAGCCATTATGGAGAAGAGTACCGAGGTTCCTCAACCAAAAATAGGTCTATCACATGACCCAGTGGCCCCACTTCTGGGGAAGCATCCAAAGGGAGTGAAGTCACCACACCACAGAGACTGCACGCCCAGTGCTGGTCACAGACAACATGGGCATCAGCCTGGGTGCCCAAGGATGGATGAATGGATGCCGGGTCCGTTTGTTAACTTCTGTCTGGTCCTTGGATCTAAGCACGCGTTAAATAAAGCAGAAAATGGGGCCAGGAGCATCAAGGCAGAGGGAAGGATAATGAACCCACAACTGAGCCTCACACAGGCGCCACACTGGGTGGGTGGCCTCCCTAAATGACAGGAGCATGTCCTGGCCCCTCTGCAGGAGAAGGGCTAGCAGAAGGCTCCCCCCAGACGCTGGGTTTCCCCAGCAGGCAGAGGCAGGAAGTGCACACCACAGCCCACCAGGAGACCTTGAGTACCCTGCCTGCAAACCTGGGCCAGACTCTTCCTTGCAGTTGTCGCCCAGGCTGGCATCAGAGGCCTGCTCTAGTCTGGCGTCCCACCCCCTTCCCCAGGCTGTTCTCTGAGCACAGCCATGAAGAGGCTGCCGGAGGAAGTCAGATGGACTCCTTGGCTCAGCGCCACTCCGTCAGGGACTTGTGGGGCCAGAAGGATGCAGTGACTAAAATACTGACCCAGTTCTCAGCCAGATCTGAGATCTCGGGCCACGTGCACAGACCAAGGCGGCCACTTCCACGCAGCCTCCCTGTGACTTACGCCTCCAGGAAGTGACCCTCCCAGGAGCTGTGAGGAGAAGAGAGGCCCCCTCTGCCTGTGGGACTTTTCACTTTTTGGGCAGCCGGCATGAGCTTGCCCCAAGCCTGCCTTCCAGCCCTGGCCTCTCCCTTATCCCAGCACCACGCCCTCCACAGCTGTGCTCTGCCTCAGCCTAAACTGACTGACTAGTGCCTGTCCCCAGGAGCAGTGCCAGAGGGCAAAGCATGGGGTGGAGTGGGGAAGTGGTATCTGCTCGCCATGCCCAGCCACCCCAGCTCCAGGCTGTTCTGCCTGCTTGCCACCCTAGGCCCACCGTTCTCCTCCTGTACCAGTGCACGCTGTCCCTTGCTGTCCGATGCAGCACAGAGGCACCTCCAGTCTAAAGCCTTCCTGGGTTGCTCTAGTGCATTGGTCACACCACACACCACACACACACACACACACACACACACACACACACACACAATTTCTCCAGTCTTCAGGGAGGCCTGGGCTCAGCCTTCTGTCTTCCTTCACCCTCCCAAACTCCTCTATGTCTTTCTCCTCAGGTCAGGGTGGACAGGAGAAGAAGGTAGCAAGCAGAGCGAGCCCTCACCCAGGAAAGGAGGGCAAGAACCCCAGGGCAGCCCGGCCTCCTTCCCACACCTTCATGGTTTGGGTTGGGAAACTGAGGCCCGTAGAGCAGGCACAGTCTTGACACAGAGTCAGCACAGCATGAGAAGCTGTGACTGGACTCTCCTGAGCCCTTCCGCAGCGTCCAGCTCTGACGGGCACGTTCCAGAGCTCCAAACAGCAGAGGCAGGGAAGGAAAGAGCAGCGGTGTGTGGACAGAGCCAGATGTTTCTGGACAAAAACAAGAGGAAATTTCAATCCTTGGAGCATCAGCGTGGGGGTCTCGCCAGGCATTCTGACCCCCAAAAAGCAGGCTTTCCAGGGAACACTTCCAGCCCGCGGTGGCTCCTGACTGGGAGGCAGCAGAGCACCTGGGCCTGTCTGTCATCCCTGCTGCCCAGGGGCCCCTGGGGGGTGCCACTCTCACTCGATACCACTGAGTCTATAAGACTCTGCTAGGTGCCCACAGCAGCACCTAGGCTGTGGAAACCCAGGGTTCTAGGACACCTACACACACACACACACACACACACACACACACACACACACACACGTGCTAGCACACAGAAACCTTACAATTTGCAAATTACCAACATCCTTAAAACTCCAAAATGGGCTGGGCATGGTGGCATGTCCCTATTATCCCAGCACTCGAGAGGCTGAGGCAGGAGGATCACCATGAGTTCAAGGCCAGCCTGGACTATATAGCGAGACCCTGTCTTAAAAAGTAAATAAATAAAATACCAAAACACCTTCCTTTGGGTCCCAAATAGCCACTCAGCCTTCCTAGGAAGTAAAGTCCTTTGAACCTTCCCAGCCCTCACCCAAGTTAGCCACTTGCTGCTGTAACCCAGTCTCAGAGAATTTCCTCCTCCAGGCCCTGAGCTAGAGTTGGTCCTGAGAGCAAGAGGGATGTGGGTCCTCCTGATGCTGCTGGAGGGCTGGGCTGTGTGGGTAGCAGCCTGGGGACGTGGATTTAAGACAAGAGCCTTCCTGAGGGCAGAAGAGTGCAAGTCACACGTCCTTGGGTGGGCCTGAGCTCCCCAAGCTCTTGTCTGCTCCAGGACTGAACTCTGGGCCATGGGGTGTGCTCGAAGATGGTACTGGGGATGAGTTCATAAAAAGGTGGGTGTCTGGGGAGCCCTTCTGAATGTTCTTCCTTCCGGTGGTCACCTCTGGGGTCCCCCTCTTCCTCACCCTCGGCCTCAGTCTGATACAGCAGTCTCCACCCACATCCTGGCCCTAGGGATGGGCCTAGGACCCAAACCTGGACAACCAGTACCCTCCATGCCCTGACCTTAGTTGGCACGGGTGAGGAGCATCTCCTCTTAGCTGTGTAGATGGAGGAGGTACCTGAGGTCACAGTTACCCTGTTCTTGTCCAATTCAGTTTGTGAGCAGAAGAGTGGAAAGAATTAAGTTCCTGAGCTAAAGAACCACTGCATTGTTATTTTTTATTTCTTGAATAACAAAAATTGAAGTGGGGTTCTTGGGGGTCCAGATTCACCCCTACAATGAGACCGTTAACCAGGGGACACAGTCTGGGGCGCACTGTGTGGATTTCAGTGCAATTAGGGAGAAACCCACTCAACAATGTGCAGCTCTGAGAACAGAAGGAAAACAGAACAATGGACCATAGTTGTTCCCTTTGTTGAAGTCAAAAGCAGTGCCCACTTCAGTCAGTGCCGTCTCTGTGGCCTCCCAAGCTGATTATCACATGAGTCAAAACGCCTAGAAAGGAATGTGACTCAGACACAGGCCTGATCTGGGGAGACAAAGCCAGCGCAGCCCTCCTCAGTATATGGAGAACAATGATGCATGGCCCCAGTGTCTTCCAGAATTTATTCTGTTAAGGCCCCCTGAGTCCTCCGGAATCAGGTTCAGGGTGTTTCTGCTTATCGATCTGCCCAGAGGTCAAGGACTGAGTGGCTTAGAAAATCAATGTCTTCAGAGAAAGACTGGAAGGAAATTAGCATGGGGTCAGACACACAGATCAGGGAGGGTACAGCCAGCTGGCCGGCTGCTCCCCACCCCACCTCTTCACTCTCTGGCGTAACCTTCCTCCTGTGAAGCTCACAGATACTGATGTGCAGCTCAGTGAGATTTTACACACATGCACGCACACGCATGCACGCACACACATACCACCCAGATCACCAGCACCTCAAGAAGGGCCCCTCCATCCCTGCCCACAGTGCATGCCTCAGCATTAACTGCCTGGACTTCTGGATTCTTTCCTCTTTGTAAAATGTAATTTTATACAGATAGAGCCACACCTGATGTGCCTTTTGGTTCTGATTTTTTGTGTTCCACATGACGTCTGCATGACTCCTCCGTGTCATGGGTACCCATAATCTCTTCTCAGTCCTGGTGGTGGGATGGTCTTCACGGCCCTCCACAACCTCTGACCCATTCTACTGCTGAGGACAATTCTTCCGGTTGTATCTAGTTTTGAGTTGTTATGAATCAAGCTGTGGCAAACCTTCCTGGTGGACATAAAAACATAAAAATGTTCATTTCTTTCTTTCTCTTTGTGTGTGTGTGTGTGTGTGTGTGTGTGTGTGTGTGTGTGTGTGTTTTGTTTTTGGAGACAGGGTCTCACTGTGTAGTTCAGCCTGGACTTGTACTCACTAAGTAGCTCAAACAGGCCTTAAACTCATGGCGGTTGTTCTGCCTCAGCTTCCAGTTGCTGGAATTGCTGGGATTACAGGTGTGTAATCCCAGGGCGGGTGGGGAAAACAAAACAAAACAAAAAAACATTCATTTCTGTGAGCTGCAGAGCTAGTATTATAGACAGATGAGTTAGGTAGGAATATTCCAGGCATCAGATAGGGCTGGGTCCTCCAGAGAGTCGGGACAGAGGTGAGACACACCACAGCTACAGCCATTAGAAACTGGGCCTCAAGATAAAGACGAGATGACCGGACCCACACACTTCCTCAAAGAACAAACACTGGGCCTAATGAAGTCTAGAGACATCAGCCACCCCGGGGTGACTGGAGACCTCTGGACCCACCGCCTAGGAGAATCTTTGTTCTTCCCACCCACACTTGTTACGTGACTTGTGTGCCAACTGGACCACCGTTACCTAGGTGACTATACCTGTAACCTCATTGGGTGCTCATGGCTGTGGCCCACATTGTAACCGTGGGTTTCACCCTATAAAACTCCTACGAAGTGAGGACCCCGCCTACCCACTTGAGAGCCTTCCTGCCCCTTAGAGCTTTCCTACCAATAAATATCTTCCCACTCTTAACTTCCACTGTTTCTAGGACTCATTCTTTGATCTTTAGAGAAGAGCTTGGTGTAACAGACAGCTAACAGGTCGGGAGATTCATTATTTCATATTTTACCTCCAGTTTTATTTCCTGTATCAGTAGGAGCAGAATCGTCCTGCCTCAGCCCTGTGAATTCTAGGATGACAGGCACGTACCAACATACTGTGTATATTTGGTGCTATATATGGACATGCCCCAGGCCAGGTATATTTGGCTTTAGTAGCTGTAGTTACTTACACGTTAGTTACACGTCTGTCCTCCCACCCACAGTCTGAGCACCAGTCGCTTCGTATCCTCACCAGCACTGGGTATTATCCGTCCTTTGCACGGTGATCTTTCAGGTCTCAGACATCGCGCTACAACTGGGCTGGCTTCTCCAGGCTCGTGGGCAGAGCCGTGTCTGAGACAGAGACCCTGCCTGGTTCCACAGAGGCAGTCAGATGCTAGGCTCACAGTTGGTGCTGGCTTCCTAGTCTTGTATTTGTTTGTTCCGCAAATATTTATTGAGGGCCGCCCAGCACTGGGGGTGCTGCTGTGAACAAAGCGGACGAAACTCCTTCCCGCCAGTGCTCACACTGAAAAAGTACGTTTACGGAAGGAACCCAGGGGTCTCCCCCAAAATGTGGCACCCTGGGATGCTGACTGGGTTAAATCAGAGGCCCCCAGAGAGCCACGGATGTGGGAAGGGCCTTTGCTCTCAGAATCCCTTGTCCTGTTTGGAGACCTTTGGGCCCTTCCGAGTTTCATTAACTGGACTCGTGTCTACTGGGCAGAAGGCTAAAGCGTGTGACCACACCTGGACAGATCTTGTCACAAGCTGCTGTCTCCTAGGCCGGTTCAGTTCCCAAAGGGCATCATTTGCCACTGTCATCTAAGCCCTGGGCCCATTCAGTCCCCCCGAAAGCATGTACTACCCTGCGAAGGGGCCACTTATCTTCTTCCTGTCCTCTGGGAAGGAGGCCGGACAGCCTGTGGGCCGCACCAGGACACCAGGTTATCACACCCCCGCCGCCATCCCAGGACTTCAGACGCATCTGTACCCCTTTTCCTCTGCGTCATCTATTTCGAATCCATTCCTGGGTCTCCAGAGAGGGGAGAGGAAGTGTCCCCTGGAAAGGGAACGTGTCCCTGGAAAGGGACACAGAGTTGAGGCCTGGAGGAGAGGAGGGCACCCAAGCGGGGTGCAGTGGGGTGAGGGTATTCCAAAGCAGTCAAGGGCGGGGAGGAGGCCTGGGTGCTGCGGGGCAGGAATGAAATCAGAGCTGGGGCAATTGGAGAAGACACAGGCCCTGAGGCATGGGAAGGAAGCGGTCTGACACACCCACCTGGGGGCCCTGACTGAGGCTCCTGGAGAGGGCTGAGAGGGAGGAGAGGGAGGGGGAGGGGAGGGGACTGATTCAATTCAGGGTGGAACCGAGAGCATTTGATAGAAGGTCAGCTTCCGAAGCGAGGACGTGTCGGCCATGGGAAGCCTGAAGTTCCTGGTTTCGGAGGCAGAGAAGTGGAAGAATTTATTTTGCTGCTGCTGTTATGTTGTGTGTTTTTTTTTAAAGAGGGCGAGTGACAGGAACTTGTTTTTCAAAGGAAATTTAAGAGATTCCTATATAGACTGGGTGGGCGGGAGAAACGTCTGGGCTGGCACACACATTTGGGAGTCTCCACGGTGGGAGGATGGCAGCCCGGGGTATGGGTGCAGAAGAAAGACCAGAAGCCTGGGGACCCTCAGCACGTTAGGGTCAGCACAGGCGGAAGAGGAGGACAGCAGAGTGTGGTGCCTCGGAAGCCCAGTGAGGGTGGAATGGCCAGTGGATCAATGGGTCAAGCAAAATGAGAACTGAAGCCAGGCACGTTGGCAGCGGCCTATGATCCCAGCACTCTAGGAGGCTGAGACAGGAAGATTGCAAGTTCCATCCCAGCCTGGGCAACTTAGTGACTTAGCAAGGCCCTGTATCAAAAAATTGAAAAAAATAAAAGTTATTTGAAAAGGGCTGGGGATGTAGCTCATTGGGAAGGCCCTGGGTTCAAGCCCAATACCCAAGTGGTTGGGGGGGCTTGAAAGTTGTCATCCTATTAGTAACACAGAAGTCAGTAGTGACCTCTGGTGTCACTAGGAGCAGATGTCTGCAGGACAGCAAGGAGACAGCGGAGCCAGTGGGCCCGCTGCAAAGGGAAAGCAAGAAATAAAGTTGTTGTTTTTTTGTGTTTTGTTTTGTTTTTTGGGTACTGGGGGTCAAATTTGGGACCCTGCACTTGCAAGGCAGGCAGCAGAACCACTGAGCTAAATCCCCAGCCCAAAATGAAAAAATTTTTAAATAGCCTTATTGATATAATTCACATCCCATAAAATCCACCCTTCTTTAACATCTACACTTCGGTGGTTTTGAGGATAGTCGCGTGATTGTGCAGCCATCACCACTCTAATTTCAGAACATTTTCACCACCCCAAAGAGAAAATCCGTACCTATGAGCAGTCATGTCTTGTTTCTTTCCTGCCCCAGCCCTGGCAGCCATGAATCTACTTTGTATCTCTATGGCCTTGCCCATCCTGGATATTTTGTGCAAATGGAGTCATACAACATATACTGATCTTTGTGGCAGTGCTTTCAAGGTTCATCCCTGTTGTAGCACAAATCAGTATTTCATTGCTGTTTGTGGCTGAATAATATTCTATTTTGTGCTGTATACCACATTTTCTTTCCTTTCCTCAGATGAGGCGTATTTAGGTTTTTCCTTTTTTGGCCATTATGGTACTGATATTATGTGGGTGGGGTGGTGGCATTCATCTATATTTCAGCACTCTGGGAGACTGAGGCAGGAGGATCACAAGTTCAAGTTCAACATGGGCAAGTTAGCAATTTAATAAGAACCTGTCTCACCAGGCATGGTGGTGCACGCCTGTAATCCTAGCACTTGGGAGGCTGAGGCAGGAGGATCACTGAGAATTCCAGGCTAGCCTGGACTACATAGTGAGTTCAAGGCCAGGCTGAACTACACAAAGGGAGACCTTGTTTCAAAAAACTAAAAAAAAAAAAAAGAAAAGAATTTGTCTCAATAAAGGGTCAATGGTGGCATGTAGCTCAGTGTGAAGGCTCTAGGATTCAAGCCTCAGGACCACACACACACACACACACACACACACACACACACACACACACGATACTAATGACCATGCCATGTTTTGCTTCCCACTCTCTTGGCCACATGCCTGGGAGTGGGACTGTTGGGCCTGTGTTAATGGCTCTATGTAACATTTTGAGAACGCATCAGACTTTTCCTAGGTGGCCACACGGTTTTACATTCCCACCAGCAAGGCAAGAAGGTTCCACTTTCTTCCCCAAAGCACCAACTTCATTTCATCCATCCTATAAGACCTAAGGCCTTAGTACCACTCCAAGGAGCTCAACAGCCACCGTAGGGCTTTCAAAATGTAAGACCAAGGGCCTTACTACCACTCCAAAGAGCTCGATTCTACCGCTCCAAAGAGCTCGACTGCCATGAGATTCACCCGGGAAGGAACACACCGGACACGTTGGAAAGGGAACAGACCTTTACTAGTCTGGCCAGACGGCACTGCAGGAGGCCTCAGCTCAGGGGCGGAGGTCCTTTATATAGGTGGATAGGCAGGGTGGGGGTCTACTCAAGATGCTTACACAATGTCCCAAGGTTTTCAAAACATTCTTTCTGGGCAAAGAGTGAAACAATCTTTATCTATTTACCCAGAAATACTAAATGTTCACCTGTTAATTTACATTAATCACAGTTGAGACTAGGATTTAGATTACAAAGTTATGCAGTCTTACATTCCTAAGCAAAGGTAGGGGTCCAACTACAAAGAGGAGTGGTACACAAGGCCTCTGGGGCCATTACTCATCCAACATGGACTCTCTTTAGTTCAGTCAGGTCTTCCAATCCTAGTAGGGCAGAAGTGGTATCATTCTGTGTTTTTTGTTTGGTTTGGTTCTCCAGGACCTTGCGCTTGTGAGGTAGGCCTGGTACCACTGAGCTAAATCCCCAGCCCATGCTGTGGTTTTGAAAACTGATGGTGCTAAGCATCTTCTCACACACTTACTGCCTATTTTAAATCAGGTGATCTGTTTTTTCACTGGGGAGTTCTTCGTATATCCTAGGTACTAGTCCCTTACCAGATACAGTACATGATTTGTACTTTTCTCTCATTTCATGGTTTTTTTGTTTTACTTTATTAAAGACATCTGTGGCACAAACATTTTTATTTATTTACTTATTTTACATTTTAAATGCAACTTAATTATAGTTGGGTTTTACTGGTTTGGGTTTGGGTTTGAGTTGAGACAGGGTCTCACTACAAAATCCAGGCTGGCCTCAAACTCACTGTATAACCCAGTCTGGCTTTGACTCGTGATCCTCCTGCCTGAGCTCCGGAGGCCTGGGATTATAGGCGTGCAGCACCACACCCAGTGAAGGCTTTAATTTTGAAGGCATCCCATTTACCGATTTTTTTTCTTTTGCACTCATGTGTTTGTGTCATAACTAAGAAACCTCCGGTCTATTCCATTATTCGTTAGTTTTATTGTTTTACTTCTTACATTTAGGCCTGTGATCTATTGTGATCTTATTTTTATATGGTGTTGGGTAAGGATCCATCTCCATCATCTTGCATGTAGTTATTCAGTTGTCCCAACTGTTATTTCTCCAGCCACCTGTCCCAATCCCTCGTTGGAGAACTCACACACGTACCCGAGAGGATGGGACAGGGCCTGTAGAAAGGAGGAAAGAGTGACACAAAGGGCCGTGGAGAACTGCTGGGGCAGTGTCCTCAGGTGGGAGAGGACAGGATACGCTGCCCAGGGGAGAGGTGGCCTCAGTCAAGAGCAGGTTCGCTCCCCCGGCGCTGATGTGAGCCGTGAGCATTCTCTTCCGATTACTTCCGTTTTCTCAGTGAAACAGGAAGCAAGGTCACCATCACAGGCGGAGGACACGAGGGAAGGCTGGGAGCTCAAGGAGAGAAGAGGTGAATGGGAAGGGAAATGGACTGGAGAAATATGAGACCCCCACCAGCGACACCGCGGCCGGATTCGGGAAAGAGGCTGAGCCGAAAGGGAGGCCAGACCTTGTGCCCGGAGTTTCTCTTCCGCCTCAGGCAGAGGGCAGACGCAGGTGGGGGTGGCAGGTGTTCCAGCCGCCATCCTCCAGGCCGCTGTGGCCAGATTCTCTGCTCCTCAGGCAGATGTCTGCACCCACATCCCAGGCGCACTTGACCCTCGAAGTGGGGAACACGTCCTGCCCTGAACTATGCCTGCAAAGCAAGGACCAGGGAAGCCGCCAGCGAGGCCTTTACCCCCCCGCACTTCCCACCTCATCTTTCCAGCTCGGTCTCCCATGATACATTTATTTTCTCAGTTCAGGATGCTAGAAGTCTACAGCAAGGTGCTGGCCTGGCTGGGTTCTAGCCAGGGACT